ATATCTCTTCTGATAAAAGGAGGCAGTGTTGTTGTCATGGATACCATTGCTTACAACCAGAAAATGTTGGACTTGCTAAATGATAGAGACACTTATGAACAGATCACCTCTATACAAATTTCTAAGAATCTAAAAGAATTTAATAGGTCCTATAAGAAACTCATATGTAATGAAGATAAGATTTGGCTTTCCTTATTAACTACCACCCGACCGTCCCTAAAATTTATGGCCTCCCCAAAACCCATAAGCTTAACATTCCATTAAGGCCCATCATCCAGGGTATAGGCTCAGCTCCTCATAATATCGCTAGGTATTTAACTAAATTTCTAACTCCAATTCTGGGCACCGTAAAGTAACGCACATATAAAGAATTCAGGCTCTCTTTTAAATAAGTTGAAAAATATTGATATAGATAACAAATTACTAGCTAGCCTAGACATCAAATCTTTATATACTAATATACCTGTTGATAAATGCATTAAACAATTAGAGAACCACCTTAAGAAAATTGACTTTAAGCTACCTATCTCTATCTCGAAATGCATCAAATTATGCATCCTTTGCACTTCACATTGTTTCTTCCAATATAATAATATTTATTATAAACAAAAATTTGGTTTACCGATGGGGAGTCCTCTCTCTGGATTCCTAGCATGCATATTTCTAGAATTTCTTGAATCTGGACCTTTTAAAGATGTCATTCCACCTGATACACATTACTTTCGATACATCGATGACATTTTATTTATCTACCCACATAAGCATGATTTAAACGAGATTACTGATAGATTAAATAGAATAGAACCTACTATAGAATTTACCTATGAACTTGAATCTAATAATTCCTTACCTTTTTTTAGACATATTACTCATTAAAAATAAAAAAATAAATTAGAATTCAAAGTATATTGTAAACCTACATGTAAAAATGACTATTTACATTTTTACTCTCACCATGATACTAACACTAAGAGGGGTATTGTTATTGGATTCTATTTGAGGGCTCTTCGCATCTGTTCATCAAAATATTTAAATGATGAATTTACATATATTGAGGATACCTTTTAAATCTTTTCGTATCCGAGACAATTATTACAGAGAGCTAAAATAAAAAATCACTCATCAGCGCAAAATGACACCTCAAAGGCCACTACAACTAGATCAATGAAAGATACAATTTCAGCTGCCTCTGATAATATTTCGTTTGGTCGCATCTTTTTACCAAATAACCATTTGACCGAACGTATCTCTCATAATCTAAATGCATTAAAAATTAGAACTACTATATTACCTACTAGGACTATCCGTAGTTTATTAAATAGCACCAGCAGACAACATATTACATCCGATGCTTGCATCTATCAAATATCATGCAAAAACTGTGACCTAAAATATGTGGGTGAAACATGTAGGTCCGTAAAAAATCTCGTGTTTTCGAACATAAACGAGATATTCGTCTCGGTAATTTTAACAATGCTTTAGTTGTACACACAACTAAAAGCAGATCATAATTTCGATTTCGATTCCGTGAAAGTATTAAAATATTTTCATAATAAAAATCTCAGGAGGATTTATGAAGCAGGTATAATATCCATCTCACGCACGGTGAATACTAGACCTGGTTTCTTTAATATTTCCCCTTTTTAGCGAGATTGATGCTCGACAAGCATACACATAAAAATTTTAGAACCTAATAGAATTCTTTTCATTTTTTTTTTCATTTCAAAATAATCACAAACTTTTAGGAATACGTTATGAAAGCGTCGCCCATGTGACGACGGCGTGACCATGTTAAACGGAAGGCTGATCATTTTAAAATTTTCAGTTATCTGTTTTGAATAAGACTTGTGTTTTTATGTCCATCGTATTTTGTCATATTGAACTGAATTGTATTTTAATGAATATTGTCTTGAAAAAGGTTTATTAAACCGAAACGTCAGACGTCGACATTTCTTTCATTTTAACTACATTTAAGGATTTTTGTTTTTTTTTTCAAAATTTTTCTTCATTCTATATATTTATATCCATTTACACTTGCTTATATATATATATATATATATATATATATATATATATATATGTATATATATATAACCAGTTTTTTGAAAGTATTAGACACTTAAATTTTTCATTTTTTCTCATTCTGTGTATATATACATATTTATTAGTAAAACTTCTCATCACAAATAAAAAAAATGTCCCAGGTGATGAACACACAATCCAACAGCAATAATGGGGTGACAAGCTGAGAGTATTGGTGAAAGAGCGTCAGTTTATATAGCTTTCACTCCATCCACATCCGAACTGAAATTGGTTGTGCCTTGGCGTGAATTATATTGCATTTTTTTTCTTTTTATATTAAATAAGGTATATATGGGGCCCAAGAAGGATAATGACAGCAGCAAAGTGCAAAGAGAAATGACCCAGATCACAGTAGAGCTAAAAGAAAGACGTATATATAGCTGAATATGACAATGATGTTCATGTCTCTAATCTTGCTACTCAGTATGACAAAAACAAAATCTGTACTATTCTCAAAAAATAAAGAGACAATCAAGGAAACCAATGTTGCATGAGGAGTGACAGTTCTTACTAAAAAAAAGATCCCAGATGAGTGAAGACTATGGTGAAATTATGACTGATTTGAATAAACAAGAAACTTAGCTTTTGACAGGGTTTCTTTATCATAATTTGAAAAAAGCAAAAGTGATTGAATGATGACTTGGTAAAAAAAATATTCTAATTAAGAGAGCTAATGTTTTCAATATTAGCATTTAGTGTTTTAAAAAAGAATTGGCATACATAGTGTATAAAAGGCATGGGGTGTAAAACAATTTTGTAAACTGTGTAAAACAATGCTGAGGAATTTGTGCAAAAATTTATTTGACTATGTAAAGGCTGAAGATTCCTTCCCCAGCAAGTGTTTAACTGTGATGAAACTGGTCTATTCTAGGAAAAAAATGCCACGGAGGACATACATCACTGAAAAGGAGAAAGAATTACCAGGACACAAACCAAGTGCTATGTGGAAACTTCAAGGTCAAGACATTACATGTGTATCCACATGGAGAATCCGAGGATGTTTAAGAAAAAACAATGTGATAAAAAGTAAATTGGTAACAAGGCAATATTTTATTGAGTGGATCCATGACTCAAGTGTGAAAAAATAACTTGCAAACAATTTGTCACTAATGACTCTTCTTGTGTAGAATAATGGACCTGCTTACCCTCCACACTTGACAGATGACTTAGATTTAATCACACTGAAGTTTCTGTCTCTTAATATTTTTTTCTAATATTCTAGCCTCTGGATCAGCAGGTCATTTCAAACGTTAAGAAGCTCTACAAAAAAGCATGTTTTTTAAAAGGTGTTTTGAGGTAACATCTAACACAGAATTAACACTTACAGACTCCTGGAAACATCGTTTTAATATCCCCAATTGCTTAAAACTCATTAATGAAGCCTGATGTCAAGTGATTTATAGGACCATGAATTTGGTCTGAAGAAATTTGGCCAGATTGTTTTGCAAGCAGAGAGTTTGAGGTTTTATTTTCACACTAGTTTATTTTGTTGTTGTCAATGATAATAATGTTTCTCTATACAGAAAAAACATGGGCTTGAAAAGTTAACAAAGAGACATGCAGGAGTTAATAGATAAATACAAAAGGAAATTTAAAACGAAAGAACTGGAACAGCTTCAGAAGCAGCAAAAGTGATTTGGAAGGAAATGTCTTCAGTTCTTTGAACTGTAAAATTTGTGCAAAATGGGGGTGAGATGCTGAGTTTTGTGGAACAATATCCTGATAAAGCAAGCAGTAGTATAAACATTTTCAATGATAATGCCATGTATCAATTTAGAAAGATTTTTAAAACATAGACAAAAACAAATCTTGTGGGACAATTTTTTAATGAGACAGAGGCCCAGTGAGTCTTAAGGAGAGTCAAGTAGTGTTAAGTGACAGAAAAGATTAAGAGAAACCCCCAAAAGCTAGTTATCTGATTTTTTTTTTTGAAAGGAGACTCCTCTTACAAACAATGACATCTCTTTTCTTACACTTCCTCGCCACCTTCCACTTATGCCATCAACTTCTCCTCCATACAAGTACAGTAAAATTAAATATTCACCTATATTTCATCTGTTTAGTATTGTGGCTATCATTTTTTTGTTAGATTTAATGCTTTTCATGGGTTCCTATGGGGAAAATAGTTTATCAACATTTCTTGGCATGAATGGTCTTCAGAAATTAATTAAATTTGTGAATCGAAGTTCCATGATATAACTGACAGTTACTCTTGTTTTCCGAGCCTACCCACCTGCTAGAGCAGCTAGTCAATCCCTGTTGCAGGCACCTGCTCAGGCACATTTGTGCATGTCCAACACCCATGAGTCCACCTGTGATTTATATGGCAGCTAAACAGACCATAGTTACAGTTTGGGGGAGAGAGTGCATAAGCCGATATGATCAGCAGTAGTTTAAACAAGACCACTATGCTCAAATCCTTGTTCATGATGACTTCAGGCTAATACAACCATTGATGGCCTCTTAACAATTGTCTGCTCAATTTCACTTACAAAGCTTGGATCAATCTGTGGCATGGTCTTCAAGAATTCTCAAAAGGCACTGCATGGTGGGCTGGCCTCCCAGACCAATAACATCAAGAATCTACTTTGATCAGGCTGAGATTTGAACAGGGATCTTATGCCCAAAAAACAAACATTCTAACCACTTGGCTATGCATAATTTTATATAATACACACAAATACATGCTCAAGAATTTTTTAAATGCAGAGATTAAATATTCTATGAAAACAAATATATCAAACTCTTACAATTTCATGAATCAAACAAAAGACCTTATTTAATTTTTAAATTTAAAATGCATTATTCTCAATCAAAATTGTAACAGGTATAAAATTAAGGGCTGATGACAAAGTCAATGTAATTACAAAGTGATTTTTATATATCAAATTTTAAAATAGAATGATCAATGACTCTACCTTGACATCTGTTGATATATTGCTGCCAGAGCATTGTGTGATTCTGAGCCACACCCGTCTGAGAGTCAAGAAATGGCTGTCTCATTTTTCTTTCAATTGATAATCTGGTATTTAAACTTGCCGTTTGTTCAGCAGCTTCTTTCAGAAACTGCTCACTGACAATGCTGAAGAAGAAGATGGAAAAAGACTCACACTGAGAAACTTTTCTTTACTTCCCGTAAAAAAAAAAAAAAAAAAAAAAAAAAATTTTTTTTAAAGCATTCTGTAATTTCTTGGACACTTTAAACAATGATCAATTATAAAACTAACGTTTTCACTAAATTAAATAAAAGTCAAATTTTGATGGCACACCTTTTAAAATAATTTCTAATAATTAAGCAAAGCTGATATTTATCAGCTAGTACACATAGCAAATACTTTTTAATTTATTTTGAATGATACATAAAAATGTTTTATTTATTTGGCTTGGTTTACGGCATATCAACCTCAATGGGTTATTTAATGCCGACAAGATTTTATTGCTGCTAATATTTTTTCCAAAAAAAAAAAAAATTAATATTAATTAATATATTAATATAATTATATATAATTGCACATGATATATTTCTCTCCAAAAATTCATTGCTGGTAACAATTTTTACTAAAATGTATCGCTGGTATTAAAACCTATTCTTACACTTTCATAGTGTTTTGACCCCAGTTTGGGGGTTAACTATTTATCCATAGCTGGGACCCTAACAGGTGCTACCAACACGGGTCAGGGTGGACCTGGGAACATCAGCAATTAAGAGGTGGTTCCACGCTCCTCAAAACCTCCTACTCAGAGGTCTTGCTGTTGGGTGTAGTTTATCCCAGGATGGCACAATTTTATGGCTTCTACTAAATATTTTGAACATAAGTGTATGATGAAAATAAAGGAATGAGAGAGAGAAGGGGAGAGGGATGAGGAAGAGAGTTGTTCAATCGATATTTCCAGGCTTTTAGTTTTGTGTTGTAGATTGTCAGCAAATATGGTGTTTGATTTGGTTTGTTTTGTTTTATGGCATATCAACCTTAATGGTTTATTTAATGACGACAAAATTTTCATTGTTGGTAATATTTTTTCCCCTTCAAAAATCTATTTCTGGTAATATCTTTTTTCAAAAATGTATTGTTAGTAATAATTTTTTTTTACAAAGTATTTCTGGTATTAAAACCTACTTTTACATTTTCATGGTTTGGTTTAGTTTGTTTTACAACATATCAACCTCAATAGGTTATTTAATGCCAAAAAAATTTTTTATTGCTGGAAATTTTTTTTTTTTTTTTTTTTATCAAATGTATTGCTGGTAAAATTTTTTTCCCCTTCAAAAATCTATTTCTGGTAATATTTTTTTTTCTTCAAAAAGTATAGCTGGTAACAACTTTTTTTACAAAGTATTTCTGGTATTAAAAACCTATTTTTACACTTTCATAGTGTTTTGATCCCAGTTTGGGGGTTAAATATTTACCCATAGCTGGGACCCTAACAGGTGCTAACACCCCAGATCAGGGTGGACCTGGGGACATCAGCAATTAAGAGGTGGTTCCACACTCCTCAAAGCCTCCTGATCAGAGGCCTTGCTATTGGACATAGTTTATCGTCTTACCCAGGACGGACAGTAAAATGTAAAACACAAACAAAATTAGAAATGTTGGTTATTTGAAAATTTACACCATACATCATGAATGTAGTTGGGTTTATTACTTAAAATATATATGGAGAGAGATAATTTTACTGGCTGTGTGTGGGCAGGCTTATATATATATATATATATATATATATATATATATAATATGGATTAAATAGGAAAACAAATTTGATATATTTCGCTTACTTTATTGTGCTTTCATCATTTGATTGTCAATAAAAATAAAAGAAAAAATTCTGATGAATCTACAATCCAGTAAGCAGAACATCAAATTTATGTTTCCCTGTTGTCCCTATATGTATGTGTGTGTGTGTGTATTTGTCAATTAGCAGATTGTTGTTTGTGTGTGTGTGTGTGTGTGTGAGAGAGAGAGAGAGAGAGCCTCTGAATAGAATATTTTGAATGAAATCAGACAGGGAAAGAACAAAAATAGTAATCAAAGAAAGAAAGAAATAATTGATGATAGTGATGGAGGGAAGAAAATTTTTCAGTACTTTTATCAAAATATCTATTTCATTTGCTAAACTGTAACCAACAAGGAAACACAGTGTGTCCATAAATAATTAGGGAACAGAATAAAACAAAAGATTTTGCATATATAAAGTTAACATTATGTGCTTGAGGTTCCAAGATACAAGATCAGAAGGAACTTGTTTGTATCAAGACTCGAAAGATTTGCATTTTGTTTTGATTTGACTAAAAAACTTTTCTTTTTTTAAAACGTGGACAAAAATGGCTGCATACGGCATTCACTTTTTTCTTTTGTTAAAATAAAATAATTTTGATTAAATTTCTGATAAAGGATTGAATAACATTTAGAAATGTGATTTACAGTTCATGATCTGCAGAAATTTTGAAACAAAGTGTTAATTTGAATACACAAACATTTGGTATTAAAACCTTAATTTCAACTTTGATAAGATATGAAGTTGTCAGTATCTGCTGTCTCATGTCATATGTGTTTAGATTAATTTTCAAATATTCACTGCAGACCATGAAAGAACTTTGATCCTTTTCAGTGTACACATAACATACAGCAAACATACATAAGTACATCAATTAGTCTGCAGCCAAATAATAAAAACATGTACTCAATTTTGAAAAAGTGATTAATATTAACTAGATACCTCCATGAGATCGCAAAAAAAAAAGAGCATAGCATGACGAAGAAGACACCAAACTTGATGAAAACAAAATTTTATCATCTAAATGTTTATGTTATTATTAAGAGGAAAGATCAAAGTATTTTGGGGTATTTTTTTACATTTTTCAATCGTGCCTAGCACATCCGAAATTTTCGTTAAAAATCTTTTTTTTTTTTTTGAGTCAGCAAGATTGACCATTTTTTTTCTATTTTATAAAAAAACTGGAAATCTCACTTTGAAATTCTTTTAAACATCAATTACCATTTTTTTCAAAACTTATTTTAAGAAAATCAGAAATTATGTTTATTTAAAATATTTTGAACCAAGCTTAACTTAGCTTCAGCGCCGAAAAGATGTAATTTAATATAAAACAAAGTAGGTCATAAACTTTTGTGTCACTTGACAGATGATGAATAACATATTGACGGATTCCGTGAGGATAATTTGTTCTATGGAAGGAGAAAAGTGAAATAATTTACATTTAAGTGAACAAATTATTTACCTTGTTATTTTTAAGGAAAACTTTCAGCGCTCTAATTTTTTTTTTGTACTTAGCTTTCACCTTTACGTTTACGATGCTTTATGGAAAATATATTATAAAGAAATTAAAATAAGACTGTTAAGAGTGAGATTAAATTTCATAAGAAAGGTATCTAATTAATTTATAGGTACCTTTCTTATGAAATTTTATCAGAAGTGTACAGAAAATACTATAATTTTATGTACATTTATTACATTTTACTGTTATTTGTATTTCCATTCATTTTATTATTAATATATATATATATTATATATATATATATATATATATATCTCTGCCATGACTTTAATAAAAAAAAAAATATTTATAATAATTTCGATCATCTGTGAATAGTTCCTGAAAGTTTCATTAACATCCGACAATTATTTTTATTTTTGCAAGATTTTCCAAATTAACGTGTGTCATACCAAAAAAAAAAAACGTGCAAAAAATTGTCCATGTTATTTTACCAGTTCCGGTGATACAAAGAGAAACAAGGTTTTTTTAATCAAAATTTAGAATGTTCTAAAAAGAAGGAAAAATTTTAAAAAATAATTAAAAAAAAAACTTTGGTCTTTCCTCTTAATAATAACATAAGCATTTAGACGATGAAATTTTGTTTTTGGCAAGGTTGGCGTCTTTTTCATCAAGCTATGCTCTTTTTTAGCGATTTCGTGGAGGTACCTATAGATCAAACATCACACAGTGAAGATTTCAGATTAAAATTCAGCTAATAATAATAATAATGTGTCAGATTAAAAAATCAAGTTTTATGATGACACTATTCAACTTTTTTGAAAAAAATATTTTTCTATTGTAAAATCAATTCAGAGTTTAAGCTAATATGCTATTATTGAAAAATAGAATTTTGCAATTCCTTATGCCAAATGTTAAAATATAGACTTCAGCAGTTTACTAAATGTTTGCAATCATTAAAAAGATCAAAATATCTTAATGTGATGTATATAAAGTTTTGCAGTTTGACTTTGGAGATCACGTGGCAAAATGTTAAGTCAGAAAGTAAGTAATACAGTGAATAGTCTAAACTACTATCTATAATGCAGTGTCGTGATCACATGTGTCTACAACATTCCTAAGGACACTAAGTGGCAAACAATGACAAGTGAGCTCATCTAGCTCAAGCCAGGATTAACCTTGAGTCATAAACATGCACACATTCCGACAATCTTGCTTAATTACAGATAAAGCTTTTCAGGAGACACTAAATATCATTTCACAAGGAGACATTAAAAAAGTAAAGAAACAAACAAAAAAAAAAAATCACTACCCTCACTAAATAAGATCACAGTTATCCTCACACTCAGAGGATAATGTGATAACAAAAAAAATAAAAGATATAAAAATAATTAATACTAGAAACAGAAGTAATTAAGAAAAGAACAAAACTGTTTAAATTATAAACAAGACAGAAAAAAATTTATATTAATTCACTGAATAATTTGTAAAAATAGCTGAAGGAAAATTACCTTTATCTACCAATAAAGACAAATTCTTGACAGAGTTATCTGATAAAAATAAATTTCAATACATATTTTCTCATAACCTAGTAGAATAGAGAATTTTATAAAACTAATAAAAGATATAGAACTAAATTTTAGTCATTCTTTAGTACAATGAAGTAATAATCAGTGATTACAAAATAATAGAAAACAAAATATTGCAAAATGTTTACCTGCATCTTATTTGCGTATTTCCCAAGAAATAAAGACAATAAAAAAAATTTCCATTTCACTCATCTTCATCGGTATATAGTCAAAATAGTACAGAATCTATAGTACTATAATTCAACTGTTTAAATATGCAAAATATCTAAGTAATTTTCTAAACTTGGTTCAATTCCTCTTCATGAAACCATTAACTTTGATTATGAATTAATTCATATAAAACATCTCTCTCAGTCCTAAACAAGAAATCAAGTCCTACTTGGGAAAAATAAGACAAAGAAATCCAAGATTCTGTTAACATATAACATTCTGGTATTTCTGATAAAATAAACTCACCAATCAAGGATTCTTGTCATGTCTTGACAAGCTTATTTTAGAAAATTATAAATATCATTCCAAAGCAAATAAGATTGTTTAAGGTGTAAGTATCTTGCACTATACACAAATCAAAATCAATCAATTTTTACCTACTTTTTCACAAAGGGTTTTAAAAACAATTATTTCTGCATTTGAATAAATCTCAGTCTAATTATGAAAGTTACCCAGACATGCAAGCTAAACTCAAAATTTTCAACCAATAATCTCTAATTACAAATAATAAAGAAAAAAATCAACAATAACAAAACAAAATTTATAAATGATAACAATAAGAACAAATAGGAAATGTTTATCAATCGAACATTTCATTTTTATTAAAGATTGTGAATATTGTTAGATTGATAAACATTTCCTATTTATTATTGTTCTGCCAGATTTCAATCCACATTTGTTTCCAACTCACCAATGGCAATAATCTATTACAAATATTTTAACCATTAAACTAATATAATACTAGTAAATACACAATCAAAATACATTTTTGTAGATATCCACTTCTTCAATATGAAAAGCATTATTTAAAATACAAGGATAGATCAATAAATCCGTACTGATAGAAATTAAAATTAATCTAAAATTTTCACTGCAAAATGTTTGATCACTGACAAGGAAGAAGATTATGTTCAAAATTAAATTATCTGTGGTGTAAATAAATACTTTATATTAAACTCATTTGGCTATAGAGTTATTGATGTGCCTAGGCATGTGATTAATATTCACCACTGAATTAAGTGCACTGACAAGGAAGAAGATTCTGTTGAAAATATTTGTGTACTGTAAAATCATAAAGCTCTGAGATATATGCATATAATTATAATACACACAAAAAAAAAAAACACAAATTTTAATGTTTGCATTAAAAATATTTTTAATTTCTTAAAAGAAAATCAAACCAAACAATTATTAACACATTTTGAAATGGAATTTTTTTTTATATTTTTCTTAAAAAAAAAAAAAAAAAAAAAAAAAGTTAAGAAATCATAATGCAAACAATATGGCAACATTTTAATTTTGTCAAAATATATATTCTTTGTACGCAAGTAATTATTTTGATTCTATGGTTGGCTGGTCAAATAATGAGTTAATTAAAATTAAACAACAAATTTCATTGCTTCAGTCAAGAATACTTCTTTCAACACTATTTAAAATAGACGTTGAAAATCAATTACAAATAATAATAAAATCTTTTATTGTACTTAAATTTGAATTATAACAACACCAGCATGAAATGTCAAACGACAATCTAGACATGTAAATAAAAAATAAAAATTGTCAGTGACTTCCAGAAAGAGAGAGAGAAGTCATCTGTTAATAATTTCATTAATCATTGAAGATTGAAACAGGTTTTTAATTTTGAGACAATCTTGTGAAAACAAGAGAAAAACATTGAGCATTTTTTAAAAATATATATTTTTTTAACTGCAAAACTAAGGCTCAAAAATGTCATTCAAAAGTTTAAGCTAAAAATTATTTCAATTTATCAAAAATTTACAAAAAAAAAAAAAAAAAAAAGAAAGAAATAAAATAAAAAACAATACAAAATGTCAAACTTTGGAGTTATTAATTGAAAACTGAATGAAAGAACAAAAATATAGTATTAGCCCCCAAGCAACTAAGTTGCTTATTTTAAGATTTCTAATAAAATTGAGCAGGAAAAAAAAAAAAAAAAAAAATTAAATTTCGGATATTTTTGAAATTATCAGAACAGAAAGAAAATCTCAAGATGATGATGATGAATATGATTTTTTTTTTTACAGTGACTCATTCTAGAATTTTTTATTTTTTTTTTTTATTTAAGAAAAAAAAAACAAAAAAAAACGAAACTTAAGTCTACATAAAAATCTTTGAAAAACGTAAACTTTATACTGTAGACAAATTATAAATAACAGAATAGACCGGGATCTTTTAGGCAAGGGTAGTTTTTTCCTTTCATAAATATTAAAAAACTAAAATAGACAATTACAATTTGAGAACCTTGTTGTTGTCATATAATTACTCAGGGTAGCGAGTTCGATCCTCACCGATGTCTTATATTTGTGACCTTGTGTCATAAGTAATTTTAGTAAATAATTATTTTTTAATCATGTATTGTAGACTAACCCACCTATTTTGCCCCACCCCCAAACAAAAATTCAGTTGAAAAAGTCCAAGGGGCATTTTTGTCGTCACCTAATCTAATATGGATGATGACATAATTGTAGGTTTATTTTTTTTATGTAACAAACTTTTTATTATTTTTTTTACATCAACAAATTATACACCTATATCCTTCTTTTTTTATATTTTTATATAATCTTTGTCTATCCTGGAAAAAAAATTATTTTTAACTAATTTAAAAAATTAAAATTCTTATTTTTCGAAGTTTAAGTTTAGGCAACGATAAACACATCATAACTCTTATTTTTAATGTTAAACCATATTTATTTATGGATTAAAAACGTTTTTTTATGTCAAATTTTCTGCTTTTTTGTTGTTTTTAAAGAAAGAAATGCAGATTCTGTGTGAAAAGCAAAATGGCTACCTGGAAACAAAAAAAAAAAAAAAAAAATTGAAGAAACTTTCTCAAAAAAGCCATCGACCAGTTAATAACTTAATAGCTAAGAGGGTTTTATTGTTGATATGTAAGCCGACAAAGATCAATAACTTATGAGAATAGAAAAATAAAATGAAGAGACCAAACGAATAAAAATAAACAAATTTCATAAAAAGATCGGTACGCGATTTGAAAGTGTCCATAAAATGGGGGATCAACTCTCAACATATTTTAATTAAAATTGAAGCACCCACTTTTAGGACAGTACAATTGCATACATTACATACGGCTTTTTTTAAACACTAGTTAACCTGATAAATTAAGTAAAAAGTAAATAATTCATAAAAGAAATAAATTATACATTATTAAATATTTTATTTGATGCATTTAAAGTAAAATTTAAATTGAATAATTGAGTCAAGATTTTAAAAAAATGTACATTTTTCTAAAAGCGTCGTTTCTTCGTCAAATGACAAACTTACAATTACAGGAAAAAATATTTTAAATACCAATATGATATTTAACATTTGCGCAACTAGTCTACGTTAAATAATTCTCTGCTTACTGGTAAATTAAAATTACAGTCGAAGCGATTATATGCATGAGACATAATTTTCAAAAACTTGCAAACAAAACTTAAAGACGAACATACCATTTCCTATACGCCGCCATTTCGTTTGTTCCGTTTAACAAAACGGGAAAGAGGTGGAGTCACGTGACTTAATCATCAACCGGTTTCATGATTTCCGGGTGAGAACGAAACCGGGTTATGGCTACAGTTAATTAACAGCTTAACATAGAAAGAAAGGAATCTCATAGATTTAACTTTCTAGGAGAAAATTGTTGATAGCTTAATAAAGTTATGTTTGAATCTGCAGCAATGAAAAATATCCTTTTAAAATAATACGCATAATTATATACAACTTGCTTCCCGATAAAAAAATGATGATTACATAGCTGTATTAATAATTGTACTTAATAAAATTTGGATAAGTTGCAGTTTAGCACCCACGCTCAATTCGCATTAAAAATTTCTCAAATACTTACATTTATGTGTAATTCTATATGCTTCATTCGAATCTGGCTTGATAAATTTGATAAAATCTACCGTTTTGGAGTTATCGACAATAAAATTTCGGATTCATTCGCTTCGTTGGCGGCAGCCATTACTGGGGTTGTTTGCACACATTCGCTGCGGAAAGCTAAACGCGGAAGAATGTAGTTAACGGCCTTATTTTTACTGATCTTACTTGTCTCAATTACTGCGCAAAAGAACTATATTGCCTGCGTAATAATCAAGACAAGTGAATATTCTATTCATAGCTATACCGCAGCAAATGTATGTAAACAACGCCGGTAATGGCTGCCCACGACGCGAATGAATCCAAACTTTTATTGTCGGTAACTCCAAAACGGTATATTTTATCAAATTTATCAAGCCAGATTCGAATGAAGCATATACAATTACACATAAATGTAAGTATTCTGGAAATTTGTAATGCGAACTGAGCACAGGTGCTAATGTGCAAATTAACCTAAAATTTTTGGCAATGCCAGTAATCCTCAAGATGTAGGGGGGAAACTGCATTAACATAATTTTATGATAAAAATGTCTAACTAGAGTCAATTCTGGTAAAAATCTTACTGCTGAGAAATTGTATGGGAAACAATTGAATGGACAAGAATATATTTTCCAGCAACACCTTTTCTTTTCATAATCTCCTGTCTTTACCATATACATGTAGTTAATATTATTTATAAAAAGAGGTTTTAAATGCATAATAAGTGGTTTGTAAAGTGAGAGTCTATATATAGATTAAAATTGTTATAACCAGCAAATAGACATTTAAGGATGTACAAAGAAAAATGCATTTTCAAAGTGCTAAATAGAGTAAAAAAATGTTGCAGTCAAATGTATTTTTATTCTTTTAGTGAGTGCATATATATATATATATATATATATATATATATATATATAGTCATCCACAGACAGACGGTTTCACTGTATCACCACTCATCAGTATAGCTAGATGTCCGGTTGCCTCTAGTTAGGATTGAAATCGGGCTGAATGGACATCAGTCAGAGATTCACTAAGCTGTTGGCACACAACAAAGATGAAGGTGAATTTAAGCATATTTATTTTTAGGTAACTGAGAGAATTCAATTTGCTTTACTGATGAGTCTTGCATTATTAGCAGTAATAGTCACTGTTTACAAACTCACGCTTCCTCCCAAGAGAGCTCAATCAATATAAATTTTTCAGGAGCATATATATATATATATATATATATATATATATATATAATATTAGTGGTAAATATACACATACATATGCAAAGTATATAAATATATATACATAGGTGCATACACATACATGTATATTTTTTTAATAAAAAATTCTGAGAGGATAGAATCCAGGTAGAACTCAATGTCCAGGACAGAGTAAGGATATAATAAAAAGGCTTAAACACTAATATTCCTTAGTCATAATTTATTCCATTGGAATCGTAAATACGATCCAATTCATCAGACCTACAATTTCAAAAAGAAAACAGAAAAGAACAACTCCGGAAATAAAAATAGAATTTAGAGAGAGTGTAAGTATGAGAGTGTGGGACGAATGTTAGTGTTAAAGAGAGGGGTAACAGACATATATATGTATATGTATATATATAAATATATTATATATATATGTGTGTGTGTAATATATATGTATGGTGATGGGTAAATTGTCAACATTTTATATTTTTAATTTCATGCATGCACATTGTTTTTGATTTTGTTGACTGCACAGTATCGTAGGATCAGTTGGGCACCATCTGTGACAAAAAGAGCACCATGATGCAATTCACTCTACCAGAAATTTGGAAATGGCATGCTGTACTGCTGTACCAATATGAACATTTCAGAGTGTTTGGGTGTCAATGTGAGAGCAATGCAGAGGATTCAGAAAGAGATGGATTAGTCTATGTAGGTGTTTGGAATGATCACTAGTGATGGTGACATCATGCCTCCATTCATCTTCCCACAGAGCCTCAGACTCAACATGAAGTCCTACATCAAGTGACTTGAGCTGTCCTAGGAAGAGGAAGACCCTATGTCTGGCAACAGGATTCTGCCTGATGTGATGTTAAGGCAACAAGCTCCTTCACCACTAACTTCAATGTTAGTTCAGTGCACAATCTCACATCTATCTTCCAAGATCTTGTCCTATTCATCCAGAAGTGTCACCTTTTTCATCCACAAGATATTTTACCCTTGCTTCATTGTATGCATTGAGAATACAGCGAATTTTAATTTAATATATTGTCTCTTTCTCCTTCTGCCCCATTGAAAATACATTGTTTGGTTGTTGTTTTTTGCAACCATACATATGCATATATATATATATATATATATATATATATATATATATATATATATATATATATATATTTTAATAAATTCACCCCAAGCAAGATGATAATACCACTAAAACACAGAGGAGGATTTTTATGGGGAAAAAAAAGAAAGTTTCAAGAATTTAGAAGGAATTGGAAACCCAAACTTAAACAGGAAACATAGGCTAAACCTCTAGTTGTGTTCAAAAGACCAGGTAGGTGTCAAAAGGCTGAGGAGAAGTCAAAAGAATGGAGTGGAGTCAAATGACGAGGGAGGACAAAATACCTAGGAGGTGTCAAAAGACCAGGTAGAGATCAAAAGTCCCGGGAGGTGTCAAAAGACTGAGGAGACAAAAGATGGGAGAGGACAAAATACCAGGGAGGTGTCAAAAGACCAGGTAGGGATAAAAAGACCTGGGAGGTGTCAAAAGACTGAGGAGAAGTCAAAAAAGGTGTCAAAAGACCAGGGAAGTGTCAAAAGACTGAGTTGGCACCAAAAGACCAGGGAGGACTCAAAAGATTAGGGAGGTGCCAAAAGACTGAGGAGGAGTCAAAAGACCAGGGAGGACTCAAAAGTCCTGGGGAGTGTCAAAAGATTGAGGAGGATACAAAAGACTAGGGTGGAGCCAAAAGACCAGTGAGGTTACAAAAGACTGAGGAGGAATCTAAAGACTGGAGACATGTCAAAAGACCAAGGAGTACTCAAAAGACTGGGGAGGTGTCAAAAGACTGAGGAGGAGTCAAAATACTAGAGTGGAGTCAAAAGACCAGGCAGGTGTCAAAAGACTGATAAGGTGTCAAAAGACCGGGAAGATATCAAAAGACCGGGAAGATATCAAAAGATTGAAGATGAGTCAAACAGTTATTTCTGATGAAAAATTGAGGACAATTTGAAATATCAAATATATATATAAATAAATAAATACTTTCATAAAATAAAACATTATAATTTTTAATTTGAAACTTTTTCTATATATACATATTAAGAAAGTATACGTGGCTTCTCATTATGCTATTTGGACCCTACTTAAACGGCAAAAATCTCCACGATAGAAGAAAACTAGAAAAAATTTTCTACAAACTGGCACAGACACACTCGGATATTATATTTCTCGGACTTTTGCAAGAAAATGGACTTAATACCAAAAAGGATTCCGATTTAAATACAATTTCCAACATAGTTTTATTACATTTAAAAAACAAAAAGCCCAATATATATACAACAGAACCTCCACGCAATTAAGAAATCTTGCGCACAACACTGCTTACATTAAAAATTTTTTTACATGAACTTATCTAAAAAAATCAGTTATTTCTCTACCTAACACTTTCTCCGTTTCAATACTCTCAAGTAAAAAAAAAGCACTCAATTTCCTGTACCAAAAAAACTGACACAGTGTATATTTTGAAAAACCAAAAACTCAATAAACTAATTGCTGAGGACCCCATTTTACAACACATAACTTACCTGAAAGATTATTTAATACAACAGATCCCACGAAGATCTCATTATGTTCACTACACCAATACTACCTCTGCTGACAACCACATCGCTAACCTATCTAAATACACTCTCACCCAAGGAGAAACCTCTTTATTAAATAAAGGATTATCATTCTGCCCCTCACAACCACTAAAACCTCTAAACCTTTGCTACGATATGGAAAAATACCTTCGTAGACTGAGACTAAAAGAATATTTCTCAGACAACAAACCTACTTCTAATACAGACAACAGCGCTAACCAATCATGCTCCAAACTTCCTCCGACGAAGAACAATATATGGACCCCACCAAGCGGACGTAACCAACACTTGGATCAATATGCCCACAAAGCCAGACAACACATGGATTACTTCTTAAAAAACAAAGGACACCAGATAAAAAATACAACTTATCCAAAATAGAACACCAAGCCATCTATACTCTTAAAAACAACCGAGACATAATTATCGTACCAGCTGACAAGGGCGGAGCTATAACCATCTTAGACACTAACCACTACATTAAAGAAGCAGAATCACAACTTCAAAATAACAGATTCTATGTACCCTTACCTCTAGACCCAACTAGCACATTCAAAACAGAATTATCACTTCTCACTCAGAACCTGAACTACAAACAAAAAAATACCATAAAATCTCTTATTCCTGAGAACCCTAAAACAGCAACATTCTACACTATCCCAAAACTACATAAACTCCCCAAAATCATTTCAGAAAAACACCCTAACACTTTTTTCATCCGACCCACATCAAATTACACAATCAAATAATGAAGAGAACATCTATG